AGAGGCAATAATAATAATATTCTTACAGACTTCAACATAAGTTAACCCTATCCGCACGTCGAGTTCACTATCCTATCCGTACGACGTGGGGAACTCTGTGCATTACTTTCCGAAGAGGAAATTTACCCGACAATCCGATCCGTACGCTTTGCATAGCAGTCTGTCATTTATTTTTTTGGGGAGAAATATTGAAAGTTTGAAAGAGATCTTTGCACTAGAATTATTCAAAATTGTGAAGAATACAACCCGGGGTACAAAATGAACCCAGGGCGTGCGGATAGCGTTAAAGACCACTTGCAAATTTGGCTAACATTCCGCGAGGATTTTTGTGCTCCAATAATGTTATTATGACGAGTCCCGACGGTTTGGTCCACTAGGTAGGCCTACTTACAGACTTCAACATACGTAAAGGACCACTTTGACCGGGAGCCGTGCTTTTTTAAAAAATCTGAAGAAAAAAAAAGACAGCAAGGAATGTTTCAAACTTTTTTGCTTTGAAAGTGTTAATAGATTACCAGTGCGGACTGCAAAGCTCCCTAAAGGGGCAGAGCCACTATGTGCATCCTCGGGGAATTTTAGCCAAATGTGCTGTTTTTCATCGGCTTGTACGCAACACCACGGACATTCCTCCCTTAAAATTTCTGGTGCACGTCATAAACGGACGTACGGTCTCGAACTGTGCTCACTTTGGTGGCAATATAAGCCTCTGTTTGCGCAAAATCCAGTATCGCATCAATATACTACCGAGGCAAAATCTGAGAGACTTTGATCGTGCCATAGCTAAAACATGGCTGCAGGATGGAGTTGGAGCCCGAGGAGTAGTCAGAAGGTTTGCAGTGTCACACTCTGTCATTGTCCGCCTGAGGCAGCGCCATCAAGTCAATGGATCAGTCCAAGAACGCCTACGTGCAGGTCGACCCAAGAAGACCACACAGAGAGTTTGCAAGTGCTTATGTTGAAGTCTGCACAATGTATTTCATAATTTGAGGGTTTTTTGGTACATATGTAAAGAGGACATAATTTCCCTTCATATGACTCCAATATCAAATGAATACAATACTATTTAACGAAATGACGCGCAATTCAATTTTGGAAAGCATAACTGCTGTCCAAGGCAAAATACCGAGATATTCGCAATCAAAGATTTGACAAATACTACCATCACAGAACAAAGTCATTCTGCAAAATAGCTTTAAAAAACACATTTAACAGCAAATTCTAAATATTTTTACAAATTGATTTTCCGACAGAAAAATCATTCAAAAGTCTTATAAAGCAACAACAATAACAACAAAAAACAACAACAACAACAGCAACAACAACAACAATAACAAAAACCTTATTTTTAGACCCAACGTATTGTGTTTTGGGCATTTTTTTCTGTTCAGTTCGATGTAGCTAGTGCGTCACATATTTATAATTTGTTATTTGTGTCATGACACGTTGGAAGGTGGAATCAGGCGCTCGCCAATGTCTCTCTCTCTCTCTCTCTCTCTCTCTCTCTCTCTCTCTCTCTCTCTC